AGCGTCTGCCTTCGGCTCAGGTCATGATCCCAGGGTCCTGGGATCGAGCCCTGCATCGGGCTCCCTGCTGCGCGGGAAGCCTGCTTCTCCCTCTCCCACTCCCCCGGCTTGTGTTCCCTCTCCCGCTGTGTCCTCTCTCTGTCAAATAAATAAAATCTTTAAAAAAAAAAAAAAAAAAAAAGTAATGTTGGAATTTTGCCCAGGGAATGGGAAGGAGATAATTGGAAATTTTTAAGAGGAGAAAAATTTGGCTCATAAATAGAAATGTTAGAGCCAGTGTCCTAAGCATATATATGGTTTTGAAAGCAATGAGAGTGGATGAGATTACGTAGGATAAAGGGTAGAGAGGAGACTACCATGGATAGAGTACTAAGGAACTCTAACATTGAAAATGGAGTTGAAGAGACAAATTGAAGTCTGTGAAGAAGCCTGAGAAAAAGCAGCGAGACACCGGAAAGTAGAAAGAAGAATTTTAAGAGACAAAGTAGCAACAAAGAACAGTATTATAGGAAGGGAGGAGTGCTTTGTAAAGTCACATGCTATGGAGTTTTAAAGAGAGTTTTAAAGGGGGAAATGATAGGGTTATATTGTAAGGCCCAACAGCAGGAAGGCTAAATTTGTAGTAGCTTCAGTGTTGAGTGATTTTTTTTTTCCAGCAGTACTTAACATTAGAAGGCAAAGGGCCTCTGACTCAAGAACACATTGTCAAGTGAATGATAAACTAAACAGAAATGGAAAGATAAAATACACTTTAGTTTTAGTTGAAGGAGAAGGGAAAGGAGCTACTCTTACGGAAATTTCAATGTTGCTCTCACAGCTGATTAATTTGTATGTTTCTTTGAGGTTGAACTGGATCACCACTTAAATATTTTGAGTGACTTTTTATCATTGGTATAAGATCTATAAATAATGAAATGCTGAGAAGTTTTGAAAAATGTTAAGTAAAATAGTAATTTTGTAATTGGAGCTATAACAAAAAAAACACTGTATTTTAGTATTTGAGCTTGCTTCCTTTATTCTTTACTTTCCATCTATTTTGCTCAACTAGTAGGGGTTTCTCTTGGCACACAGAATAGCCCAAGAACCTTTGACCCCAGGGTTTTAATTTTCATTTTAATGTAGATTGCTATTATGTGCTCTATTTAGGAAAATCTATCTTCATAGAGAAATCGATTTTTGCCCATCTCAGCGCATGCTAATAGCAGTAATAGCAATATAATATAAAAATATTTGTTGCAGTCTGTTTAAATTTTACTGGTTTTTGTTATTCAACAGGTTTGATCTGTGGATGAAATGAATCATGATTTTCAAGCTCTTGCATTAGAATCTCGGGGAATGGGAGAGGTAAGTATTTATGAATACTAAGAATGTATACCTCACTTTGATTATTTGAGCCATTGAGACTCATTTTTTTTTGACCATAAATACTCTTGAAAATTGTGGTTATGTCTTCCACATGATGTGGGTTTTTTAAATCTTGGATTATACAATTCTGTATTGTGGTGATTTCAGCTTTTTTTTTAACCCCTAGCAGTAATTTTTAGTGAGATTGTGTCTAGTTGATTGATCGACTTGGTTTAGAAATTAATGTTTTATATTTTGGTAATGAACCACAATTACTTTGCTCTGAAAAGAGCCTTTCTTTATCCTTGTCCTGCTGTTTTATATATGTATGCTGTTTACTTTAGCCACACTTAATTGTTCACTATTCTCTCTTCCAAAAATCTCTCCTCGTTTACTGTTTGCTTAATAAACTTCTAATCCTATACAAGACTGTGCTGAGAAATGAGTCTTACTATTGTCCCATTGCTATCTGTAGTAGAATTAATTACTTCCTCTTCTGACTTTTCATAGATCTTTATACATATTTTTATTATATTACTTTGTTACAGTTTGTTTTATATTAGTCTTCTCTGTAGATTGTTAGCTTTGAATGACTGACACACAGTGAGCACTCTGAATTTTTTAATAGATTTTATCAGTCCTGTTAATATATGATTTTCATTGGGGCATCCCACTTAACTGCACCATAACATAATATAAGGCATCAAAAATGACGTTTTCCATATACCTAAATTATGTTTAGAAAACTTTAATTGCTTATAAAAACCCTTGTGGTCACATCTTTATTTTGTCATGTTCTATGGTACTAACATAGTGTGGACTTTGCTAATAGAACATAACAGTGAACAGACATAAGATGTGTAATTAACTGCTTGCGCCTGGAGATTATTTTACTTTGGTAGATTAGAGACCTTCATGAGACTCACTTCATCCAATGCTGTGTGCTCTTCAGATGCAGAAAAAGAGTCCAGTCACTCCTCTGGGCCACAAGAGGGCACCCTGCAGCTAGCTAACCCTTCCCTTCTCCAGAACAGCGTTTTCCAAAGAGTTTGTCATTTTCAGAGGACTGATTTAAGGGTGAGTTAAGGTGCTTAAGCATAAGTATTGCCAAAGTAAACTTGGTAGTCTAGTGCATAAGGTAAAATTCTAGTCCCTAAGAAAGATTTGAAAGAGGGAATAATTTTTTAGTCAAACAACAACAAAAAACTATAGAGCTTCACTGCAATACAGTGGCTGCTTAGGCATTATTTACACTATGGGCGAATAAAAAGAAGCAGTTGAAAAGGGCTTTTGTTTTGTTCACTGCTACTTAGTCTTTAAAAAGCAGAATAACCTATCTTGAAAGCAGGTTTGAACAGTGTTTCAGCCTAGTCTCTGACAAAGTTGAACTTGATTTTTAAGAGCAAGTAAAGTCACACAGTTAACTTAATTCTTCTAGACCCCCCCCCCAGCACTTCCTAGATCTACATTGTACATATATTTACCGATTGGCTCATTTTCCCCCTCCCTTAACAAATAGTAGTTGATAAATGCAAAGACATCTTTGCAGTTAAAAAAATGTCATGATCAGAAATAGTTGGAAGAGTTTGGTTAGTTACTTGAGGGTGGAGGAAGTACACTTGATGTTTTTGGAAAAGAGACAAGCTGGGTTGGAATAGTATGTTGATCTAAACTTAAATCTAGGCTTTCTTAATGGAAATTTCAGATATGCAGAGTACAAGTGGCTGGCTAGGGTATAGACTGCCTGCTTTTTTGGGCAGATAGCAGTAGGTCAGTGCTTCCGTGACCTTCATTCAGTAGAAATGTATTTTTAAATAAGCTGTTACTCACTAATTATTTTTTCTTAACAGTTTACCAACTAATTCTGTTACCTCTAGGAGATAGATAAGAAACCTGCTCAGGTTTCTGTCTCTGGGTTCTGTCTCCCACAAGCCTTTCTATCTTTCCTCATCTCACAGGCAGCAGGGAACCTTCTGGGATTTCCTTCTTTGCCTGTCTCTCTCTCACCAGTCTTCTCCTCCTTTCCTGACAGGTGAGGTGTTTTATTTTTGTTTTATCCCAGAATCCATTCATTTTAATAAATTAAAAGTAGCCCTGAGTTTCTGGCTCTTCCGTTTTCTAAACTTGCTTGTTTATTTTTTTAATGTGACATCCTTTTTTAATGGATTGCCCTATTCTTGACTTTTTCTTCAAAAATAAAGTTTTCTTTATTATGTCTTAAGTTGTTGTAGATCTCTAATGTAGAAAGCACTGCATTACATACAGGACTGTTTTCAAATGTACTGGGTTTTGTAGATCATGGTATTCTGTGCTGACCCATCATCAGAAGGGCAGTCTTTTCTATTTGGTCATCCAGAAATGGGAACAGATCTGTATATTCATCCATTCATAAACTCATTCTTTCCATATTTTTCCATAGCATGTTTTTGTCAAAAGACTTCCTGATTTGTATTACATCATATCGCTTAAAAAGAGCAAAGCTCATTCATAGGAGGTTGGACTCAGTTTCATTAGTATAGTGTTTTAAAACTACACTGCAGGGGCACCTGGGTGGCTCGGTCATTGTGTCTGCCTTCTGCTCAGGTCATGATCCCAGGAGCCTGGGATCGGGCTCCCTGCACGGCGGGCAGCCTGCTTCTCCCTCTCCCTCGGCCTGCTGCTCCCCCTATTTGTGCTCTCTCTGTCAAATAAATAAATAAAATCTTAAAAAATAAAACTACACTGCAGAGGCACATACCTGTTGTTTTATACACACACTGTATGTTCCTGTTTATTTTTTAAATAGGGGGAAAGAGGCCCCTGCCTGAAATTCTTTAGGAAACCCAGAATTTAAGTCACTGAATTAATGTGTTTTTTGGGGGGAGTATTCATAGCTTAGTATGATAAATAATGCCCCCTTGTTTCTTACACAGTAATATTTAAAGAAAATTATGTGCTGAGATCCTAGGTGGTGTGGTGAAGTGGAATACTGGATAGGGGAATAAGGAGACTTCTGTTTTCTCTGATCTATCACTAGTGCTATGACCTCAAGTAAGACTGACTTCTTTGGAGACAGTAATAAGAATAACCTTTTATATGAATTACACATATCTCAAATATTCTAGCTCTGATCTGATCTGTTAGGGATAACTGGAATGGAAACCAGCTACTTGAAGGTAGATCATAGTTTTGTCTACATAAATCTTTGTCTTAACGATTCTACCTTAAAGTTTATCTGCAGTAATGAATACCCACATTGTATAGGCAGAATATCATGATAATATCATTAAAGTTTATTATATCTAGTGGTATTCTAATACTGGCAATTTTCAGAAATACTGATGAATTAGACTGTGATTGAAAAGAACCATCTTCTATGGTAGTTAAGTGTAAAGAGAATGAACGTTAAAATTACAGAGATTGATGGGTTCAAATCCTAATGCAGCCATTTACTAGCCATATGTGTAACCTTGGTTCTGTTTCCTTATGCAGAATGGGACTGTATTAGGCATCTGTTCTTTGTTTCATGATTCTCCTACAATACTCAAATGGACTTGAAAAAGAAGGCAAATAGCTATAGATGAAATTTTTATAATGAATAATGTCATAGTTCTTAGCCAGTTAAATATTGCTGGTCAGTATGTTACTTATGTTTTATAATATTAGAAGATTCCTATTTTTTGTGGTAAAGATATCTAATATTTGTGTGTCTACTATGTGCTAGATACTGTTCTAGGCAGTTTACTTATGCTGTTACATTCTAGCCTCATAGAAACTCTATGACAGTTGTTTTATTATCCTTACAGATGAGGAAACAAGCTCAGAATGGTTAACTGGCTTAAGGTCATGAATAGCAGTGATGGAATGGTATAAACTCATGAATGCCTTGACTGTTTACAATACTGCTTCCTATTGGAAGTGATGACATTTAATGTTTTCTGTTAAAGGATATTAGGAATGGAGAATATTGAGGAAGTTGTATGATTTGAAAAAATGAAGAAGTGTTGATCTCTTTTCTTAACAGAATAGATGAAAGTCTGGAAAAGAACTAATCTGGGGTTATAGGGAATTACCTTGTGTTTTTTGTTCTCTACACATTTAGTTATTAGCATCTATGTCTCTCTTTTCTGAACTTCCATAGATAGTCATCTTACATCCTAATTTGCCCAGACAGTCCAGATGCATATCTCTTGTCGTGGCATAATTATTAATAGCACCCCCTTCCTCAAAAGTGTTTGGATGTTTTATGAACACCCAAGTTTGGATGTTTTATGAACACTTTAATTTAAAACACCATATTGTAGACATAAAGCTTTTCAGATTCTTTTGATTCTTGGGATTATGTTAATTTGGTTGGTTATGTGATTTTATGTAATAATTTGTATTAAATCAGGTGTACCTCTAAATTCTAGTAGGAATTTATTATGTATTTTGAGGCAGTATGCTAGGTTGTTGACTGATTTCTTTGACAGTGGAGAGGGAAAGCCATAAATGTTTCTTGAAAGAAAGAACGAATAATATGGTGGACAATTGGGGGATGAATTTGTATGTTCACCCAGTCATTTCTCAGTTGGCAGGACAGAGGTGTAGGTTGACAAATACTGAATTGCTTGACCTTGGTTTAAAGCTTTTGTGAATTACGGAACTAATATGAAGTGGTAGTGGATCATATATTTTACAGATCTTTAAGATCTGTTAGCCCTTGTTTTCTGTAATATTCTTCCCCATTTCTACTACAGTAAAAGAGTCTCCAGGGGCAAATCTCTACTGCTATTACAACCAGTGTACTGCCTAAATCTTTTTGTTTGTTTCTGTTCTATCCTGAATTATTGCCTTCCCCTATATTTAGTTCATTTTTTTTTTTTGAATTTTTAAAACTTTAATACAGTTCAAATCAGTGGGCCAGGTTCACTTCAGCTCCTTCACTGCCAAACCTGGGGGCAAGGACTGCTTCAGTTTCTCTGCCTTCTCCTTGTCCGTGATGACCAAGGTGTAAAGGTATCTGCTGCACCGAACTTTAAACTTCACATTATCCTCATTTTTCTTGATCTTGACGGATTTGGCGTCCTTTCGCCTGGCCGTGAGCAAAAAGTCCTTGATTTCCTCGATTTTGCGAGGCATGGCTACGGGGGGGGGGGGGGCACGGGAGCGTGTGGCCGGCACAGCAAGCAGCAAGAAAGCTATATTTAGTTCATTTTAATTTAATTTATTCTTGGTCACAAACTAGTAGTTTCTGAAAGTATTTGGAATCAGTGTCTAAACTGTCACAAAAAGTTGTTTCTAGAATGTACAGGCCTTTGTCAGTAGAAGTGTTAATTTTATTAACTACTAAATTGTTTTCCTCTGCATGATACCTTATAAATGTTTGCAAAATGAAAAGATATTCATAGTGTAGTGCTTTGCAGAAAGTAGGCACATTGCATAAGTGCTTAACATAGATTTTTTTCCCCTAGTTGTACAATTTGTATTTTAAAACTAATATATAAGCTTCTCTACTAAAACACTACATAGAACTGTTATCACAAAGACTTTGGAATGGTTTCCTCAAAGAGTTTCTATTACTTCTGCTACCTCAGAAGATTAGTTTTAAGCCACTTCTGTGTCTATGATGACTGCTTCTATTAAGTTGTTAAAATTTTATTCTCAATTCCTTATTTGTTACTATTACTTTGATATTGAATCTTTTTTCATGATGTGTGGGATAAAAACTTTTTATTTTCTCAGGAGCCATTTTTTTAATGGTATTTTGAAGGATTAAGTTGGGTTTTACTATGAATGAATGTTCAATTATTTATATCAGGCACAGTGTTTTAGTATTAATCAGCTTTACATTTTGTACATGAACCTTTTATAGTGAGATTAAAAAAAAAAAAACAAAGGAACAGAGGTTGCATTTGGCTGGGATCTTTGTTAGAGCAGATTATTATTTAAAAGTCTGTGCACAAATCATTTGCAGCCCAGCCCAGTTCCTAACATGGAGAAACTTTTCTTTTTAAACTAGCCCAAGTTGGTTTCCTTTAAAATTAAATATATATAGTTTAGCAAAAAATCTGTAGATTAGGAACATGGCCAAATTGAACTTTTCCCCCTGCCATCAAAGCTAGTTCTGGTTTTTTGTTTGGTCAGTGGTACTACATTTACCTTATTACCCAAATTTGAAAATTTTATCAATCTCCTCCCCGTTTGTAATCATATCCTGCTGACTCTCCTAAATATCTCTCAAACCATTTTATTTTTCAATTCTTTCTGTTAGTACCCTATTCCAGTTCTTACCATCTTGGCCCTGTTGTAGTTCTGCTAAACTGATTTGTCTGTAGTCTAGAATATCCATTATTCTTACAGCTTACAACTTGAGTTGTTTTCTCAAACACAGTATCACTCTTAACAACCTCTATGGATTCCCTTATTTCAAAGTAATGTGCAGTTTTTCTTTAACTTGTCGTTAAGGTTCCTCAGGATCTGACCTAGAAAGCTTTACCAGCATCAGCTTTGACATTCCCTCATCTGTTCATCATCTCATACCTTGTTGTACACACAGTGCAATTTATTAGGTTGTGCCTTTGTTCATGATTTACTTTATCTTCCTCGCCTTCCACTCACACTTTCACACCCAACACACAGTTTTATTTCTCAGATCCAATTCAGGTTTTACTGAGTTTGTTTTATTACATTTAGTTTGTATGTTTGTGAGCTTTCTGAGAATAAGGTTACCATGCTCCTAAGGAGGCAAACCCAGGTAATTTAGTGTGGTAAGTATAGTGTTAGAAGTATATACAGGATTAATTATGACCACTGAAAGACTGGGTACCTAATTATGGGCTGAGAGGGAGGAGGTCTGAGGAATGCTTATTTAAAATGCTAAATGCATGCCTCAGGAAACCAATCTATTGTTTTCAAACAAACATAGCCTCAGTCCATCTTCTCTGAGTATCAGGGAAGGTAGAGAGGAGAGGCTAGGATGAGTGATAAAGTATCATTAGGAATTAGCCAAATGTACATTTTGAATAATCAGTGAATCATTATATCAACACAATTTTTATGTGCTCTGTGTGTCACATATATGGTAGATAGAGCATGGGGCTTTTAGATTATTTCAGAAGTATTTGAGGTTCCTTTCTGTGTGTCTTCCACCATCCACAGGTTCCTGATTTGGAATTGATAGATTGCTAGCATTTCAGACCTAGGAAGAGTCTTGAAGTTAACTTCCATTGAATAAATGAAGTAAAAGTGAAGATGTATTTTCTATCATGGAAGCTATGGGATAGGAGGTGATCCAAGGGCAGTAAAGGAGAGGAAGTAAAGGAGAGGTTTTTACCTTTTGTATAGATGTTTTTATTATCTATATTAAGAAATTTAGTAGGTTTTTTGAAGAAATTTATAAAGAAAGTCACATGATGGTAAAACCATTTCAAACATGTAGAAAAGTCAGAAGTGGATTTTGACTAGTGTTCAGGGTTAGAATTACTAGAGCCAGTACCCAAACATTAAGTGGGGAGTTATTTTATTATTATCAAGACAAAAATAGAAAATAGTTCTCTCTGAATTTTCCTTAGTATTGAAAACTCACTTGTACATATTGGTGGTAAGTTCTCTTTCACCCACGTAGAATTAGAATAAATTTGCAATTAGAATGAAACTTAAATTAATATTTTTTTCCCTCCCAAATAGCTTTTGCCTACCAAAAAGTTTTGGGAACCTGATGATTCAACAAAAGATGGACAAAAAGGCATATTTCTTGGGGATGATGAATGGAGAGAGACTGCATGGGGAACTTCTCGTAAGTTATTGGTGTTATGTGTGAGAATTATGAGTTTACTTGAATTTTTTGAAACCCTGCCTACCCCCGGACAGACAGTATTTGGAGCAAATTTCTGATGACTTTGTTGAAAATTTTATAAGTCATTATAATGTACATTTTTAATGTAAATTAACCCTTATCTAATGGTCTACTTAATAATTAGAAGTCTTTGTCACAGTAAAATATTACTGGATGATAATTAATCAAATTAACTTTAAATTTTGAGTGTAAATTACCCGGGTGTTTCTTTATTCTCCCTCTGCCCCCCCCCCCCGTGCTTTTTCTCTCTCGCAAAAATAAATAAAATCTTTAAAATAAAATAAAATTACTTGTGCTCGAAAACTTGATTGGTAGACATGTTTTAATTTTTGTTTTGAAGGTTGAATGCTTAATTACTTTATTTACCAGAACCAAATATTATTTAAAGCATTCTGAAGCAAAACATCTTGAGCACAACATGGTAATGAGAGATTATTTTCAAGATGGATGGTTGGGAAATATTTTTGGTATGTTATATTTGGAGGACAACTCGTACAAGCAATAAAATATTGAAGCAACATTATATATTTCTTTTTAGTGTCAAGTTTGTATTTTTAATTTCTTGTGCCACTTCCTCTTGCAACTTAACTTTTTTTGGCTGTATGGATAAAATTTTGAAGTTGAATATTAGTCTTTACCAAGAGATAGGAAATTAGAAATGAATGAAAAATTAGAAGTTATTTCGTTTATAGAACATTTATTGAATGCCAAGTATGTTACAAATATGAGTAAGATATTCCTTGTTCTAGAGGAATTGTTCTAAAGAAGAGTCTTTCCATGACTGCAAGGAGACTTTATCATATAGTTAGTTTCTCTAACTGAAGTTATTATTTTTTTTTTTTTAAAGATTTTATTTATTTGACAGAGACACAGTGAGAGAGGGAACACAAGCAGGAGGGGGAATGGGAGAGGGAGAAGCAGGCTTCCCGCTGAGCAGGGAGCCCGATGCGGGGCTCCATCCGAGGACCCTGGGATCATGACCTGAGCCGAAGGCAGACGCTTAACGACTGTGCCACCCAGGCGCCCCTCTAACTGAAGTTCTCTTTCTCACCCTCACGTTCACCTATTTTTTGCTCACTTTAACTCTTTAGCTTTCATATCACTTCCTTTGGGATTCACTCTAAGACTGGGAAGGATTAATGCTCCTTCTTTCTGTTTCCGTAGTATCCTGGATCATTTTTACTGATGTACTTTTACTCTGTTATGATTGTCTTAGGGCAGGGACTGTCTTGTTTGTTCTTGGATTCCCCATACATAGCGCAATGCCCAGCATACGAGAGACCATAAACCAACATTTTTTTGAACTATGTTAATGAAAGGTGAATGATTGAATGAAAAAATAAATGACTAATCTCTTGTGGATAAAGGTACTGCAATGAAATGTTTTAATATGCTTTAACAAAAGTAGTAGTCATTTAAAAACATAAGACTTAATGAAGTAATGGCCGAGTACCACCGTTGATAGTTCAGCCTCTTAAGGACTGGACCTAATATTGAGTATTCTGTGTGATAACAAATGAACCAGAGGTAGCTTATTGGTGCCTTAAAATTTAAAACAATATTTGAATGTTGCCTCAAATGTCTTTTTATATTTGTATCCCATTTGTTCTCTAATCTTAAATACTGCTTTTTTTCTTTTTGTCATAAAAATGTGTTGAAAAGGTATTCACACCAGATGAATAATTTTTTGTTAAAAATAAATGGAAAACTTTTAAACTAGGAAGGGACATTTATTTATTTAGATTTTATTTATTTGACAGAGTGCACACAAGTGGGGGGAGCTGCAGGCAGAGGGAGAGGGAGAAGCAGGCTCCCCGTCAATCAGGGAGCCCAATGTGGGGCCGGATCCCAGGACCCTGGGATCATGACCTGAGCCGAAGGCAGACGCTTAACTGACTGAGCTACCCAGGCACCCCTAGAAGGGACTTTTAAAAATAGGGGCGCCTGGGTGGCTCAGTCGTTAAGCGTCTGCCTTCGGCTCAGGTCACGATCCCAGGGTCCTGGATCGAGCCCCGCATCGGGCTCCCTGCTCGGCGGGAAGCCTGCTTCTCCCTCTCCCACTCCCCCTGCTTGTGTTCCCTCTCTCACTGTGTCTCTCCCTGTCAAAATAAATAAAATTTTTAAAAAAAAAAAAAAAAAAAATAATCTTTAGGTGACAGTTTTTACACCAAGAGTAGAAAATTCTTTGATATTAACTGATTTTTTCCAAATGTATTTGTTTGTGTTTATAGTGGTACAGCCATGTGTTCTGAATCTGTCCAGTATATAACTATGAGCTTGAGATGTACTAGGTTTCTGTTTTGAATTACTATGAATCACGAAGAAAGCTTTAATGTTTTAACAAGATGGTTATAGGCAGCAGAGCCTTCAGGTTAATGTTTCTGTCTCCGTTGACCTTTCTGGTTTGACTGTGCATATCAGCTTTTACTTTTTTTTGTTAACCAAATGGCTCTGTCTGTATTCCCAAGAAATGTACCCAGGCCAGTGAGTCTCAACAGTATGAAAGCTTTTTATTAAGATTACAATAACGTTCATTACTTCAGTGTATTAAATTATGTAAATACATTTTGGTTAGTTTAAAAGTACATATGTGTAATTGTGTTCTTCCTTCCAAACAGACCATTCAATGTCCCAGCCTATTATGGTACAGAGAAGATCTGGACAGGGTTTTCATGGAAACAGTGAAGTAAATGCAATACTGTCTCCGCGATCAGAAAGTGGAGGCCTTGGTGTGAGCATGGTAGAATATGTATTAAGTTCTTCTCCTGCTGATAAATTGGATTCTCGATTTAGGAAGGGAACTTTTGTAAGTATTTTGAATAAAGAAATTTAATAATTAGTTATTTGGTTATCTTTAAGTCCATTTATTTTTTTGGCTCTTCCAGAGCTCAAGGAAATCTTGCAGTTATTGGAGCTCTGGTTTTCTTCTCTTGGCCACTTCTTGAAATACATGAAATAGTAGAACCAATGGGAATATAACCTTAGCCATGTTACAAAAATCAAGCCATATTAATTACGAAACATAATTTGCAGGATTACAATTGCTTATTCATGGTAGTGTTTGATGTGAAAGTAACTAAAAATCATCTGCATTAAGTAGAATTTTAATCTCGTCTGTGGTGTTACTGCTTTTCCAGCACCGCTATAGTTAAGGTTGCCTTAGCCCTTCTGTTATAAATCACTGTTTTGTGCTCAATTTTTTGGCCTTTGATAAATTAGTTGATTACAAAATTAAAATAAGGTACAATGCTTTTATTGTTCACGTGCACTATAGCATAGTTTGAGGTCACCTTATGGTGTTTTTTTTGTGTGTTCTATTAAATATTCAGAATCAAACAGATTCTTTTTCCTCAGGGCACTAGAGATGCTGAAACAGATGGACCTGAGAAAGGAGATCAAAAAGGCAAGGCTTCTCCATTTGAGGAGGACCAAAACAGAGATCTTAAACAAGGAGATGATGATGATTCTAAAATAAATGGCAGAGGTTTGCCAAATGGAATGGATGCCGATTGCAAAGATTTTAAGTAAGACTTTAACTTTCTCAAGAAGAAAAGCATATCTCTTTAGGGATGATTACTACTAGTTGATGTGATTGATTTAGACATTTTCCAATTTTGGTTTATTTTATTTCCCTTTGTACCTTGTGTTAATCCAGAAGAAGATTTAATTTTTTTCCTAAGGAGTATTAGTTGATTGTGAACTTTTTTTTTTTTTTAATAATTCTTCAAAATAGTCTCTAAAACAGTGCATTCCATTAAAGGAGTAATGTTAGAAGTGGTGTTACCTTTCTGCTAATATGGTAGTCTAAATTTTAACTTTTTCCTCCCTGCTAAAATTTAGTGAATTTTAGGTTTAATCTGGGTTTTCTTGGCAAACTCCTTTCGGGGTTGCTCTTGAGCACCTTTCTGTGGAGTTTCCTCTTCCTTCTACCCCTGGATTGTATCCTCCCCCCCACCCCCCCATCTAACTCTTAATCTTGGAAATGAGGAAACATAATTAGCTTAGGACCTGTGACCTTTCTTCTTAGTATATATGAATTTATGGTAATACTTAATATTCCTGAAATTAGGAAGTAGGGAACATATTAGAGACTTCAGAAAGTTAGCGTTAAGCTTAGAATTCTTTAAGTTGTAACTTTTTAGTTGTCTCTTTATGGTAATTAAATAAGTATTTTCTTCTAGCTTTGATCTCAGATCAGGCAGTGTACATTTACCTAGATATTAGGGATTTGTTTCTTCATCCTGAATTCCTATACTATTTTGGGGCTTATACCTGAAAATGAGCTGTTTCTTTGAGATCTTGTGAACCATGAAATCTCAGTTAACTTGAGTATAACCATATATGTGGGTGGTATGCTTTTACATTTATTGCCTTTAATTATCAAAAGCAGAGTAAAATGCTTCTTAAAACAGTGCCATTTGGATCTGTTCTAAGTGCAAAAAAGCATCCAAAACCAGTAAACCTCTTTTTTTTTTTTTTTTAAAGATTTTATTTATTTATTTGAGAGAGAGAATGAGAGCACGAGAGGGAAGAGGGTCAGAGGGAGAAGCAGACTTCCTGCCGAGCAGGGAGCCCGATGTGGGACTCGATCCCGGGACTCCAGGATCATGACCTGAGCCGAAGGCAGTCGCTTAACCAACTAAGCCACCCAGGCGCTCACCAGTAAACCTCTTTGATAAGAAATAAATTTAATGCTTTTCAATTTGTTTTAGAACCTTATCCTGATTTTACTTTTCTGCAGTTGCCTAATCTCAGTTTTAGTCAAGGGCATGTATTTAAAACTGAGTTGATTATGAGCCCTTCAGAGTATGCATTTATAATTGAAGTGTTAATACACCATTAACTATAGCAAGAAAATAGCACCACTTAATAGCGCAATGCCTTTTTTCTATTATATTCTCTACTTATTGCTATATTAGAGTTGTTTGTATGAAACGCTATGCTTCTCCATATTATGAGCTTTTACATTTATTAGCATTCTAATTTTATTGCATTAAGTTAGGGATATGCGTTTTAAATTGTTTATGAAATATTTTACATACAGTATTATACTTCATAGTGTAAAAACGTTTCAGACTAATAGCTGTGGCTATATGGTCACTATTGCTAACATATCACTAATATGTACATTAATTGATAGCAGCATCAGTATATAATCACTGGAGTGTAGAACTGAAAGGAAGGGAAGAACTATAGCAGGCTTTATTTTAAAAGGCTAATTTTATTTTTTAAAAGATTTTATTTATTTATTTGACAGAGACACAGTGAGAGAGGGAACACAAGCAGGGGGAGTTGGGAGAGGGAGAAGCAGGCCTCCCGCTGAGCAGGGAGCCTGATGCGGGGCTCGATCCCAGGACTCTGGGATCATGACCTGAGCTGAAGGCGGATGCTTAACGACTTGAGTTACCCAGGCACCCCTAAAAGGCTAATTTTAAAGAAGATCCTTCCAGGTTTTTTTTTCTTTTCATATATATTCTGAATGAAAAACCTTTGAATATTCACATGAAAAATTAGGTATGCTTAAAGGGGAAAGGAAGTAGAAATTTCTTCTAAATATTGCAAGGATAGTGGTTGATTTTTAAATAAAATTTAAGTTCACCTAAATATCTGGAAACCGATTGTTACAATTAAGTAATTTTATTAAGTAATTACTTTGTAAAATGCTCTGTACATGTTTGCAAATTTATCTTGATGTGAAGCTCCTGAACTTGGGGGCAGAGTTACATAGGTGTTAACAACTGGCACTGAAAGCTAGGTAAAATAGTTATTGTCATTTACTTAATGTACTTACGTTTGCATATACTGTGAACTCACGTTCCTCAGAACAAACTTATTTCTTGTGAGGGAAAAGATCTTGCATAAAATATTTTTGTAGAAGAAAAGACACTGTAAATGAGGATAGATTATGTCTAGAAATAAAGTAAAAATAAGGTTTAGACCATGAAGGATGTTGATAAAAAGAGTTGATGCTCAGTAAATTTTTGAAAAAATCAAAGAGGCTTGTTAATAGAGGAAGTTGATGTTTTATATGAAATATACTTTTTGTTGATGGGCATACTTAATTCTTGGTAAATATGTTACAAATTTCCATTTCTTTTTGATGATTTTAACTGAAACAATTTTGTGTGATAAAGATGGTTTTTGGAGAGTTGTCATAAAGGCTTTTCACACTTCGTTTTTTGTCCTTGAAACAATAAGCACAAGGAGGTTATGTCTTCAGTCTCACTTAAGAAACTGAGGCCTGGAAGATGAAATGATTTGCTCAAAATCGTATTTAAAGACAGTCCGGAGTCAGCCTTCATCTTAGTTCATGTTGTTTTCCATTGTATCCCACATTTTACACTCTGAAATCATGAAGGCCATCCTTTATGGCCAGTTCGTTTTTTGTTGGTCCCCCCCCACCCCCGAACCATTATTAAGCAAGATATGGCAAAATTCTGTGCTGGTGGACAAGACAGGAGTATGGTAGGTGGGTTTTGGTTTTGAGTCTTCCCATGTTTGTCGCTTGATAGTCTGTTATTCATACACCATTCATTTTGTCTGTGATTTGAGAAAAATTTCGGGTAGTTTAAGCCCTAAATTGTGATATTGGCTAATTTTCTTATCTGTAAAATTGAGTTAAATCTTGATGCTATTCAAATTAGAATGATCATTAGTAATATGAAAAAAACAAAACCATGTCAGTTCTTAAGAAGAAGTTAGACAAAAAAAAATGATGCAGTGGAGTGGTTAGTGACCTGGGGTGCCTGATTTGCCCTCTGTATTTTACAACCTTTGTTTTTCATGATTTTCCTACTTTCCCATTCCAACTGTGACTGACTTACTACTTTTACTCATAAAGTCTTTGTTTTCTTTATATAGTCGTACTCCTGGAAGTCGTCAAGCCTCTCCAACTGAAGTAGTTGAGCGCCTGGGCCCCAATACTAATCCCCCAGAAGGATTGGGGCCTCTTCCTAATCCTACAGCTAATAAACCACTTGTTGAAGAATTTTCAAATCCTGAAACTCAGAATCTGGATGCCATGGAACAAGTTGGTCTGGATTCCTTACAGTTTGACTATCCTGGTAATCAGGTACCCATGGACTCTTCAGGGGCTACTGTAGGCCTTTTTGACTACAATTCCCAGCAGCAGGTAAAGCATGAAGCTCCTCTTAACTATGTACTGGTGTAGCCTGAAGTACTATGAGGCCTTGACGTGAATAATAGGAGTGTTAAATACTTAATGTTTTATAAATAAAATGTTTTTATAGTTGAGAAAGTGATTAAGTGTTTAAATACACTGTTCACAGCTTTTTAAATAGAAATGAAGTGCTTTGAGACTAATCTTTGTATTAAATGTTTTCTCTAATAGCTCTTTCAGAGGACTAATGCACTAACAGTTCAGCAGTTAACTGCAGCTCAACAGCAGCAATATGCATTAGCTGCAGCCCAGCAGCCACATATAGGTGAGTCTGTAAGTTACCATTTTGATGAGACTTAGAAAATCTTGTGTTAGTGTTTATTAGAACGCTTCATTTTTCTTTTACTGAATGGTGTTATTTCGTTATGTTTTAAAACATCTCATTGAGATCAAAGAGTAATTACATGGCAAGAGTAAAGATTTAACTAGGGAAGAACTGTTTCTGATTATTGTATCCTTGATTAAATAAAAATCTAACTTGATGAAAGCTGGAGGTACATAAGTTTTTTTTTCAGTGTCAAGTTGAGAGTCAAACACTTGGAAATTCAAATGTATGTTATATCTGTTAGCAATCACAATATTTATTTAAATAAATCAGATTTCCAAGAAAATTCCTTAAAATATTTTCTTCTTTACTTCATTATTTGGTCCTTGACTTTTAGCCTTTAATGTGAATTATTATAATTACACATTTGTTACTGCTAACGCATTGGTACGTGTTACCCATGTTGGGGTTTTATGTTTGCTTTTTAACTTTTTAATTTGAAATAATTATAGAGTCACATGGGGTTGCAAGGAGAGTACAGAGAGGTTCCCCATCCAGCTTTCCCTATATAGCTACATCTTACATAATTACAGTACAGTACCAAAATCAGGAATATGAAATTGGTAAATGTATATGTATGTGTTACATCACTTGATCACATGTGTAGATTTATGTAACCATTTTTATGCCTGATTTTAGCTGACCTTAATTTATTAACTAGTTGGAAAAGGTGTGAATATTCCCCACATCATAATCTATGGAAGCAGGCTTGGGAGGGGGTGATATACTAAGTTGATTCTCTTCCCTTACCTTAGTATTGTTCTGTGTCAATCCATAAAGGTCTCCTACATCCCAGATTTTATTTTTGGTTTTAATCAAAGGTGACCATGCATTTCTAGATGGCTTCTAATAGCAGCATGCATTCTTTGCCACCAGCTTCCTTTATTCTTATATTTAGTCATTCTTACTAGAAATGTAGTGATTCCTGGGGTACCTGGGTGGTTCAGTCGGTTAAGCATCTGACTCTTGATTTCGGCTCAGGTCATGATCTCAGGGTCATGAGATTGAGCCCCTTGTATGGCTCCACACTCAGCACTGAGTCAGTTTAGGGTTCTCTCTCTCCCTGCTTGTGCGCACATGTGTGCGCATGTGCACACTCTCTTTCAAATGAATAAATAAAATTTTTAAAAAAGAAATGTAGCGATTCCTGTCTACTCACAGACTAGTATAACCCTTTTTTATTTCTTGAAGACTCTAAGGTATGTTTTAGTATGTGACAGGCTAGTATACCCATTGCTCTTCCATTTTAAAGTTTTAAATTTTCTCCTCTTACTTTTTTAATATGAACTTTAGAATTTGCTTATTTATTTACTTCCAGAAGATTGGGTTTAAATTTTAAATTAACTTTGGGAAAATCTACATCTTTATGACCTTAAGTATTCTAACCAGGACATTGTGTATCTTTATATTTTTTCAAGTTTGCTTTTGTATTGTTTATCAGTGCTTTAAAGTTTTTCTCATGTAAGTTTGCATATTTCTTGGTAAGTTTGTTCTTAGGTATTTTATCTTCTGCTATCAATGTAAATGGCCTCCTATCTTTTATTAAATCTTTAGATATCTTTGAAAGCTCTTGATTAGCAAATACTAAAATTTCTGAGTATATGTTCTAATTGAATCATTCTTGTGTTCACGGAATAAAAAAAGTGCGTATAATCTCTTAACGAGCTCTTTCAATTTGCTTATGTTTTATTTAGGATGTCTGCATCAATAATGTGTACATGAAGTTAGTCCTTAAGTTTGTGTGTTTCCTTGCATTTTTGTCAGATTTTGGAATATGATCACTTCATAAAAATAATTTAGAACTATCCCCCCTTTTAATACCTTAAAAGAGTATTTCAGGTAACATTGGACTTATGTCGTCTTTTAAAACTTGGCAGAACTTCTTTGTGAAGCCATCTAGGAAACCATGCACATAAATTTGAAAACCTGAATAAAAATGGAAATATTCCTAAGCATAATTTACCAAAATTGACTCCACCTTTTAATCTTTGTTCCGTAGTTAAATATATTCATTGTTGACCATTAGTCTTATTATCCAAGTTTGCCTAGTCATCTCTTGGCTGGCTGAAAGCCCATTTTAGAACAGCATTGTACAATAGAAATATAATATGTGCCACATGGAATTTTAAATTCTTTGGTAGCCACATTTTTGAAAAGTTAAAAGAAATAGGTGAAATTAATTTGCATATATTATTTAACCCATTATATCCAAAAATGTCATTTTAAATGTGACCGATATAAAACTTACTAATGAGAAATTTAAATTCTTTTCTTCATATGAAGCTTTTCAAATCAGGTGTGCATTTTTCCACTTTGAGCAGATGCTCAGTAGCTGTATGTGGTTGTAACTATTGTAATAGTGTGGCTCTAGAAGATTCTTCTAGAATGGGGATTGACAAACTTTTTAATAAAGGCCCAGATAGTAAATACTGTAATTTTTGCAAGCTGTATGATTTCAGCCACAACTAGTCAACTCTGCTGTTACAGCACAGAAGAACCTTAAGTGACATATGAATGAGTATGGCCGTATTCCTATAAAATTTTACCATGGATACTGTAATTTGAATATCATTATAATTTTTATGTGTTGCAAATTATTATTTTCAACTGTTAAAAATGTTAAAATTGTTCTTAGTTTATATAAAAATAGGTAGCAACCTGGACTTGGCTCATGGGCAGGGCCAGAAAGAGATAATACAGTATATTTTTATTTTTTAAAAATAGATCTCTACACTGAAAAGGGAGAGAAAGAGAAAAGAAAAAGGATTGTTTAGATGGTTGGGAAATTTTTGTAGTTTAGGAAATTGAGAGATAAGCCATAGGAGTAAATTAGAAATAAACCTGTAGTATAGTCTGCAGAGGGCTATAAGAGGGGCAAACCAATAGAGGGCCTACACGTTACCAGGAGTGGAGTTTGAGTCATGCTAACCATGTGTGGTAAGAGCACCCAGGTTGCAAATAGAAACAAGACTTGGTTTGGAGACTTAACTTTATGATGTGTAGTTGGCAGTCTTGATACCACCTGATGGACAGGTGAGTGTAAGAGAATCTCACAGATAGTATCGCAAACAATATTCACAGTGTAAACAAGAAAGATCAGCCAGAAAGCAGTCAGGCATGTAACAAACAGTAGAATTTACACCCAAGATGTAGAAATAAGAGAACCTTAAAGTTTCAGAAAGAACTTGTAAAAAGTTGATTCACAGTCTTAGGAGATAAAGGACTTAAGCCATCAAAGATCAGCGGTCTTAAAACAAAATGATGTGAAAATCGACCACTTCAGAATCTTGTAAGTAAAAAGACCTAGGTGGGCTTCGTTATTGAGTAGTTGTCACCTAGGATGAAATGAACTGGAGAAGAAAACTTAAGAGATCTCCAAGAACACTTAACCCATAGTAATCAGTACTTGGCAGAGACGAGAGAAATGAGAAACTAAGGAGTGGAGTCGGTAGTAACTAAAGATATGCAAGACATAGAAGACTAACTTTTCCTCACGTCTCAGATAAATGTGGACACATACATTTTGGATAAAACTCAACATTATAAAGATGTCACTTCACCTAAGTTAATTTGAGATTTAATGTATTCTTGGTTGGAATCCCAGTAGGATTTTTTTTTAGAACTTGAAAGTTTTTGATGTTTGTCTTAGAAAAGTAAAATGAGAAAATTAATGGAAAACTAAAGTGGAAAGAGGGAGACCTACTCAACCATATTCCAAAAGTCACTATTTTCAATGATTAAAACTGTTGTACTGGCTTTGGCATATACAAGTAGATAGTAGACAAGAACGCTTTGCAATAGACATGTGCACATGTGTCTGTTTAGTGTGCAGTGGTGGGAAAAAATTTTAATTTTAATTGACATCTCAAACGGTAAAAGAGTATGTGGAAAATAGCTTGGAGATAATTGGGTCCTCTTCCTGATAGATTAAAAATTTAAATGAGAGGGGAGCCTGGGATGGCTCAGCAGGGTAAGCGTCTGCCTTCAGTTTAGGTCATGATCTCGGGGTGCTGCTCAGTGGGGAGTCTGCTTGTCCATCTCCCTCTGCCCCACCCCACTCGTGCGCTTTCTCTCTCAAATAAATAAAAATCTTTATTTGAGAGAGAGACAGACACGGCGAGAGAGGGAACACAAGCAGGGGGAGTGGGAGAGGGAGAAGCAGGCCTCCCGCCGAGCAGGGAGCCTAATGCGGGGCTCGATCCCAGGAGCACCTGCGCCAAAGGCAGACGCTTAACGACCCAGCTACCCAGGCGCCCCTAAATAAAATCTTTATGAAAAAATTTTGTTTTAATCTCTGGTTCTTTGTCTATCAAAGAGACATAACTTCTCATTTAAAGTTTTTTAAACATTTTATTTATTTATTTGAGAGAGTGAGAGCCAGAGAGATCACAGAGGGAGAGGGAGAAGCAAACTTGCCTTTGAGCAGAGAGTCCGATGCGGGGCTCGATCCCAGGACCCCGAGATCATGACCTGAGCTGAAGGCAGACACTTAACTGGCTGAGCCACCCAGTCGCCCCAAACAAAAAAAATTTCTTAATGCTTTATTTTACTTCTCAGATTGACAACTGTTCAAAAAGTTTAGTAATGTCCAATTTTGGCAGGAGTCTGAGTGGCATTCTAATATATTCCTGATGAGAATATAAATTGGTACAACTTTCCTGGAGAACAATATGGAAATGCTGAACAAGAATTGATATATATTTTTCCATTTATGTGGATGTTTATAAAGGTACAATGATAATGCAGAACCCCTTTGTACTTAAAGAATAATAGGAGCACTGTTAAAACAAAAGATAGAGAGCCATCTGAATATATAGCAGTAATAGACTGATTAAATCACATTCCTTCTATACGTTAGAATGACTTGATAGATTGTTTTGTTGTTTGTTTGTTTTTTTTTTAAGATTTTATTTATTCACAAGAGACACAGAGAGAGGCAGAGGGAGAAGCAGGCTCGGGAGCCTGATGTGGGACTCAATCCCAGGACCCCAGGATCATGACCTGAGCCGAGGGCAGACACTTAGCCATCTGAGCCACCCAGGCGCCCTAGATTATCTTTTGACATAGTAAGGCACTTATGGTTAATTGGCAAGTGAAAAACATATTAAAGTATCATCATAGGGGTCCCTGGTTGGCTCAGTCGGTTAAGCTTCTGCCTTCGGCTCAGGTCATGATCCCGGGGTCCTGGGATCGAGCCCTGCATTGGGCTCCCTGCTCAGTGGGGAGCCTGCTGCTTTCTCCCTCTCCCTCTGCCTGCCTGCCTGTCTGCCTACTTGTGATCTCTCTGTCTCTCTGCCAAATGAATGAATAAAATCTTAAAAAAATAAAGTATCATCATAGCCTACAGTATAAAATGTGTATGTGTTCATTTAAAAATGTGAAAGGATGTATTTTTATACTTGTGTGCATGTATAAACAGATACAAACACATATTTGGATGTATATATATGTGCAAACATAAGTATGTATATATGTAAATACACAAGCATATTGTTTGATGCCTAGTATGTCTAGTATGTTGTAAATATTTCTTCAATGACTCGTCAGCTTTTTAAAACATGCGAGAAACATTTTTTTCAGCAGAAGGTTTAATATGTATCAATTAGGTCAAACTAATTCCTTGTTTTTCAAATATCTGAAACTTCCTATCTGCTTTATAACATAAAGGTGGAGAAAGCTGTGTTAAAATTATTTCTAAAATTGAAAAATTTAGGAGATAAACCAGTGGTTAGTAAAGAGTACATGAGGACTTTGGCTTTACATTTTACATGCTCTAATAGTATTTGAGATTTTATTTTTTTATTTATTTATTTTTTTTTAATTGAGATTTTAAAAGCAGTCTTTTTAAATCATATAATATGGAATATAAAAAAATTACGTCTTGGCTTTGAGATTTTGTAGTGGTATGAGTGGTTATGAATACCACTGCATCCTTTGTTTTCTACTGTGATAAAGATAATTTATGGTAGAGGAACCAGAAAGAAATCTTGAAACCTTTGCCCTCAGGTATAGTTAAGGATGCAACTCTGAGCAAATGATCTTTAAATAGTGCGGGGATTTTATTGAACCCTCTAATTCTTCCTCTATTAAAAGCAGATTTTTCAAATGGCTTTTTTGTGCCTGTGCATGAAATCAGTGTTACGGGTTATGGCCACTATATTTAGAAATTAAATAGATTTATAGACATTAATAAAAAGAAAAATTAAGTAAAAAATAGGTTATGTTGGAACTTTATAAGGATAATTTTTTTTGAGATATTTGTGGCATGTATATGTATATATGGACACTAGGTCAATGTGAAATACATTTCATATTATGGGTCAGTCAAAACATATAAAAACTGCTATAATACAGAATGAGGTTTCTGAATCTCAATTTTTAAGATAAGTGCTCCTTTTGGATACATTTTAAAAAGTTACTTATATCCACTTGCTTTTATGCTCCTAGTCCCTCTTCTTAATCATCTTTTTTTTTTTTTTTAAGATTTTATTTTTAAGTAATCTCTACACCCAACATGGGGTTCAAACTCACAACCCCAGTATCAGGAGTCATATGTTCTACCACCTGAGTCTGCTAGGCACCCCATTAATTATCTTTTAAATTGAACCTTTTTGAGCTCTTTTAACTTTAAACACACCCCTTTTGTTATTTCCTCACCTTCACCTTGTCTCCATTATTTTCCAGAAGAGACAGCTCTGGCAGTTAGTACTTTATGGTAAATGGTATACACAGTGATTCCTCGAAACCAGCAGCCGTCTTGTCTCTCTAATAAGTACTGCAAATGAATATTTTAAAATCTTTCGTAGCCTTTGCTAAGTTCACATTGGCGTACATTAAATGCAGAAGTGGCCTTAAAGTCACCATACTACTTAAAACCCTTCATTTTTCTTCTGTTGCTTTTGGGGGGTAAAGTCCAAACTACTTAACCCAGGAAGATGTTTATGGGTCTTCCTTCTGTTTATAACTAGTTTTGTCTTGTCTTGCCCTTTAGTTCCGCTTCATCCTACCCACTCCTTCTGAAGCTTAAGTACCCCTTCTCTCTATGCCCATAGCACTTACTATGGCTATATTCTAATTGCCAATTTGCTTGTTTGTTTTTCTCATTAGATGGATTGATTTGTGAGGGCAGAGCTTATCTGTCTTCCTCACTGGAATCCCTAGCTCATAGTATAGCTTAATAAAGATTGAATGAAAAACTACTGTGGAATAATAGTAGTTCTAGCTCTCAACATTTGTCATGTGCCTGTTGTGCTAGTTCTATATAGTCGTTTCATATTCAGGATCATTTAATTCTCACAAAAATTCTCTTAAGACGTGGTGATACGCTTATTTAAAAAACGAAGAATCTTAGAGTCAGGTTGTGTTACATGCCCAAGGTCACTCATTTAATCAGAAGTTGAACCATTATACAGTCTATTCCCTCACTCCAAATTCAGTGTGGAAATGATTTTACCTAATGAAGAAACTCATACTTTACATTTTCACTCATTATTTCCTCCCTTTTTAAATACAGCTGGTGTATTCTCAGCAGGCCTTGCTCCAGCTGCATTTGTGCCAAATCCATATATTATTAGTGCTGCTCCTCCAGGGACTGATCCATACACTGCAGCAGGATTGGCTGCAGCAGCAACATTAGCAGGTAACTTACTCTTCATCCTTGTTGCTTACTATGGATTTAGTTTTAATTCTGGTATAAGCTTTATTTTTGTCAATTTGGGCAATTTGAAGTTCCTAGGAAAATGAAACATTTATCTAAAATGAACTGAAGTTTCCAGAGAGTTAGTTTACTACTTTTCCTATTGTAATGCTAGGAAAAAGCCTAAGCCTGGTAACTCTTTCCTCATGTACATAGTTGATTTATATTTCAGTTTTGTAGTTTCAGAAATCTTCTATCATCAATCACAAATCTTCCTTTTTGTGACTGTTTCTATTGCCCACAGAGACAGTGCAAAGTCAAGTCACTTCTCATAAAATAAACTGGGGGTAGGTGCTATAAATACCCATGTCAGGGAGAGTATGAGGTAAGGAGCTTCAGCAATCTTGAGAGAATGAGTATCTAGAAAGTAGTTTATTTAGCAGTATTAAAATGTGCAAGCCAACTGAGAGGCAAAATGGAGGGATGGAGTTGGAAAGAACTTAACTGTCAAAAACCTGAAGCGACCACTCAAAATCTGAAATGAAAGCCAAAACTATACAATGTTACATGTTAGTGGTATTGCAGTAAAGCTGGGAAAAAAATGTTTTTAAACCCAAAACTATATTGCTTATTTAAGTAAGGAGAGTTGTGTGCTGGTCAGGTGCTGTCCTATTAAGCAAAGCAATTTGTTGATCTTCTGTAGGGTTATGAGGAGGTTATTTTAGGCTGAGCTGGGTATAGAGACAAATGAATGAGTCTTAGGTATGGGTTATTATGTTGGTCACAGAGGCAGAAACAGAGTAATATCAGCCACAGATGTATGTTCACTGGAGTGAGCCTGCCAGTTGAATTTCATTAACTCTAGACTACCATGATTTTTTTTTACTTTGTTCACTGATGTGAATTGTTAGTAAGTGCCACTTCTGCGAGTTGTTATCATGACCATAGAACAGTTAGTCTTTTCCTAAGAGTTTGGGACTTTTTTTTATACTCAAGACTTTGTTTTAAGAAGTGAAAAAATAAATGTTAGTGTCAAATTCTTGTTTGATAGCTTGCTTAGCAGACTGAAACTAACCTGTCATATTCAGTAGTGTTTGGTATAGATCTGCATGTGATTCCATAAAGAAGGGATGAACTGTCTTGGTGCCATTTAACTGGATGTTAGTATGTAAAGTTCTGGTGTATCATACAATCTATGGAATCAAAAGAAGCCCCTTTAAGAAATTGTTAGTTTTGAGAGTAAGTAGGCATTCTGGACTTAGGCTTTATGAGACCAGTGCTACCTAGTAAAATACAATGTGAACCAGATAATGTAATTTAAATTTTTCTAGTAGCTACATTATAAAATAAGTAAAAAACATGAAATTAATTTCAGTGTTTGATTTAGCCAGAATACCTAAAATATCATTTTAATACAATTTTAAGTTACTAATAGATCTTTTACACACACACACACACACACACACACACACACACGCAAAGTCTTCAAAATCTTGTGTATATCACACTTACAGCACATCATTTTTTAAGTCTTGAGTAGCCACAAGTGGCTTCTGGCTACTGTTTTGGGCAGACAGGTTTTAGGTAGATGTCTGACTCTTGTTTTGATAATGTATTCTTCCTTCATAAATCCTGTTAATAGTCCTCATTGTAGAAATACATTTTATCTTTAAATTTTTTAATGCTTTTTACTTTAGTTGATTCAGTACAGTTGTGTACTGGGCTCTATTTTTCTCCAAAACAAAGTAAAACCAAGAGTTTAACTTTATAAAATGTTAAATAGCTATACTAAAATCATACCAGTGGAATTTTAGACCATCTTTATTATATCAATCCGTAATCATGACATCTTATTCATCAGCTTAATGGTGGGGCTATATGTGCATGCTATTTCCTCTCCTGGAAGCAAATTTCTTAAATAAATAGAATAGAGCAATAACAATTCATTCTGTTTTTCCTACTTTGTTTTCACATGTCTATGTCTGTCTGTGCTTTATATTACCTAGTTCTTTCTTGTCTTGACTCACTAGTCCCATTTTCCTAACCATATAAACACTGAAGTTTATTTGTTTTCATGTGATTTTCAATTGTTTTGGGAAAATTGTGACTAATTCTGTTTCAGATGTGAAGAATATGTTTAATAAAAACTTAATTAAAAATATTTTTAAATTCAAGATTTACAATTCAAGTAACAGTTGTAGCAAGCTTGGTACCAGAATGTTCCCTAGTTTTATGTTATAGATTGCAAATAAAAAGATAAAAGTGTTTTTATTGTTGTAATTCTTTTCAAAATGATCTTTCTTAAGAGAATTTGAATTGAACATAGTAAATCTTACAATTTTATGACGTCTAATGTTCCCTAAAAATATTATGTGTTTGCCAGTATCAAACCCATAAACTGGCATTCAGTAAATGTTGGATACATTGCTAAGTATCCTGTCAATTCATTGGTCCTCTTGACATTAGCTTTACCATCTCCACTAAGGCCGCTGCTGTCACTCCTGAATACTTTCTCTTTTAATAAACATGCCTGAATGAGACTGTCCCCCTAATAGAATCAGAAAAAAATAGAAAGTATGTAGCAGATGTTAAGTTTTTACTTTACAACTAAAGTAAAAAGCAGATTATAAGGACATTTGCTCTAAGTCTTATACACTGTTCTCTTTATGATCTAATGGTAACTGACCTCATTTATCTATAAAATGTAAGTAACTTTTTTTTTGGGGGGGTGGGGTGGGGTGTGGGGTTTAGGTCCAGCAGTGGTTCCACCTCAGTATTATGGTGTTCCGTGGGGGGTGTATCCAGCCAATTTATTTCAGCAACAAGCTGCAGCTGCGGCAAACAACACAGCAAATCAGCAAGCAGCATCACAAGCTCAGCCTGGACAGCAACAGGTATAGGCCTGCCTTCATTAAATTAATACCTGAAGAGTCTCTGAAATTGCATGAGTTCCTTGTCAAGATCTGTGTCTTTTCATCTTCGATATGTAGTATAGTACCTAGTATATAATTGATACACAAGTATTGATTACATTTTTTCTAATTATATGAATTTAAAGATTTGGATGTACTCCATTTCTATCTTTCTGTTATTGAAACTCTTGAAATCTCTAGGCATTTTTAATTTTCTTTTCATCACCTCTTCAAGTGTGCTAATTTTCCTAATTAACACTTCATTTTCTTCTGAGTATTTAAATTACTATTTTAAATATTAGTATATATCTGAGCAGAAAAAGATTAATTATTGGGTACTTTATATTTTTAAGCAAGATGAAAATACATTCACTAAACATTAGATTTAACTTCTTAAAATAGAAAATCTTTATTACAAAGGTGCCGCCACACCCCCCCCCTTTCCTGGAACTATTTTAATAATGTAGAAACACTATTGATGATTTCAGAATTCTGGTTGTCAATTTCTTCATATTTATACCAAAGAAGCAACTTAATTCCAAGAATAGTGTTACTTGACAACTAAATTTTGTTCTGAATTTCCTTTTTATACTTGAATACTATATTGATGTTCTGTTGAAGCTGTTCTTTAGCTCAGTCCTTGTAGATTATACCATAGCATGATTTAATAAATTCTTTCTTAACCTATGTCTTCTTTGGGCAAACATGAAAATACCATACTACCTGAACAATATACACACCTACATGTGAGGCTTACTTACACAGGTGGTGGTAACAGTAAATCCCCCTTGTCCTGAATTTCCCTTTCCAGATAAATTTCTCTTATTTTTAGTACTACATTGGTAAGTTAAAGAACACAAATACTAGAAATAATTTTCCTCAAAGGCCTTCTAAAATTTCCATGTTACTTAATAAATTGTTCTAGTTGTCAAGAGCCAGTGATTGTGTTTTTGATTTTAAGTATTTTATATTTTTTCATGCCAAATCAACATTTCATTGCACATAAATATGTTCAAAGAATATCCAGAGACCGTGTGTCATACGTAGAGAGTTGCCCGGGATAAATTTATTTATCTATTACTTTATAATTTCATTTTTAAGGAAATCATTTGTCCTTTGTAGGTTCTTCGAGCCGGAGCAGGTCAGCGCCCTCTTACTCCCAATCAGGGCCAACAAGGGCAGCAGGCAGAATCACTCGCAGCAGCAAATCCAACTTTGGCTTTTGGTCAGGGTCTTGCTACCGGCATGCCAGGTATATAGTTATAGTTAGTTAATTGTAGAAATTTGCATAGGTTTGAAATGTTAAATGTAGCCACATTGAAGAGTGAAAAAAATCAAGAAATGTCTTTAGAGTCTTGCCTACCTTGCAATAAGTTATTTAGAACTCAGATGCCAATAGTTGAAATCAGTACTATTCGTGAGACTTAACATAAATGGCATACATGTACTAGAATCCTCAGTGCATCCATTTTTTCTTCTGCGTATGGCATAAGGTGTAGCATTTTCCCATCCTAACATAGCCCAGAATTCTTGTGAAGTAGATATTTATGAAACCAAATAGAAAATTACTACTTTAATAATAATGGAAGGAGGAAGGTATTTTTCTTAATCCAATAAAAGCAGCACTTGCTATGTTTTTAAAGTGAAATTTAAAGCTGCATTTGAATATCAGTAGGTAATAGGTCACTTCCTATTCCTTCATTCTCTCCACTCCTAAAGACTCACATTCTTTTTTTTTTTTCTCACATTCTCTCTTAAATATGCTGCTTTTTCACTTTTAGTATATGAGTAGTTATATAGATTGCTAATTAATGAAATGTGAGTTCCAGTTTCCATTTGATTGTAATGTAGTTACATTTTCTATTCATATCACTTCGGAAATGTGTTTAATATACTGGAAAATATGTGTAGTTGAGGGTTTCTTTTATGTGTTACGCTGCTGAATACTTCTGTATGTTACTTTAGGGACTTCTCAATCGATTGCATTCATTCTATTTTCTCTGAGATGTCTGAGGTCTGATTTTATCATCTTGTGTAGCCCTCTGGATAAAGAGAAGATGTTAATACTGTAGTCTCTGAAGTACAAATAATAGAATGGAAGTGTTCTCGTTCTTTTTTTTTTTTTTTTAACCCAGCCATGTACTTGCTTCGGGGAAGCTGCTTTCCTGGAGCCATTGTGGATTAGAGACCTTTGAAAATGTACAATGAAGCTGAAGTTACAGATGTGGAGGGACATGGAAACAAGGCTAAAGGGAACTGAGCTGAGTTTATGGAAGACACTGATAAGACTACTCTGGGCTCCTCTTTCTGCCCCTTACTTTTAAGCCTTGCCTCCATGATTCCTTTGGAATAATCCTAATATTAACTCAGTAACAATTGCAAAGTATGACCTCCTCTCCTCCATTCTTATTTTTCTCAGTTCTTTGTTGTATTTCATCATATTGATGATGTCCAACTCTTCTACAACTGCTCTCTACCATTACATTACCTTCTGTGATATTTTATTCTCCTGACTTTCCTTTCTCATGCTTTTTATCAGTCTCCCTTTCCTCTTTGTATATCCTTAAAAATGAAAGATAGTCTGGCTTAGTGACTAGATGCTTTGGAGTCAAGTCTGCCTAATTGCTGTAGCACTTAGTCATGTGACCTTGGCCAAGTTACTCTCCTCTTTGAACTTAACTTCCAGTATTGGGACAATAGATACTTTACTTTTTTGTGGGGGAACGTCTGTCTACTTTCAGCTTTCCAGCCATCATATCTATACCAGTAAACTAAATGAGTTTACATCTACATCTTGGATTCTTTGCTGAACACTTAACACATTAACACATTTCTGCTTTTGTATAGGACATTACTGTGTGTATGTTTCAGCCACTCCTCAAACTGACAGTGTCAAAAAATGAACTCTCTCCCAGATTTACTTACCTTACTGTTTACTCTATTTCACTATTAATATTAATTCCACTATCCTCTTTTTTTCCCAGTACCAAAATAGTTTTATTTTCAACATTTACTAAGTTTAAGTTGTGCTAATTTCTGATACGTAAAAATGCGTATCCACTTAACTAGATAAACACACACATAAATACATACCAACATAATTCATATCCATAGTAATATTTTAAGTTTTATCTGTATAATTTCAATTCAGTTCAAATATTTCATCTTTTATGATAAACCTAATCTGTTCATGAGAATCTTCATTCCCTCTGAGGTAAGGAATATAATCCTGGGTAGAACTGGGATATGGTACTGGGATGGTCAGAACTGCTCCTAGCCCATACAGGGTACCTTGGTACAACTTAGGAAAGAAGCCACATCGTCTGAGTAGATACGGCCATATACCCATAAACTAAGCTTGGTGAGTGGAGCCTCATAGGATTTCAGCTCTCATTGCTTATCTCAGCCAGGTCCCCTTGTATAGGACACAACCTGCATGTAGGAGGCCATCCTAGAGAGGGCTGCTCAGTGGTAGTGCAAGCAGAAAGTGATCAGGCCACCTTTGTATAGCTTTACTCCTTGCTCCAAAAGACTGATCTAATTTGGCTGAGTTTGGTCACATAGGGGGGTCTCTTCTTCAAACCACTAATGCTAATTTAGTTCAAGAGAGCGGTCTCCTTGATGGAAGATCATTTTCACGCTTAAGTGTGCGAATGGCTGTGCCATATGCAAGTGGACTTTCAAGCTTTAGTCTTAAGAAAACAACCCAGTGTCAATTCTTGACTCTTAAAAATTACGCTGTCCAGCTGGCTATAGGGGAGCTATGCAATTTCCCTCTTTTAAGTGTCTTTAGTCTTGAAGTACAAACTGTAAGGAAGGCTTTTTCCAAAACTATTAAGATGAATTCACCACTTGGAGTGGGAGCTCAAACCACTGCTCTCGGAGCCTCGGCTTGGCCGCCTTTACCCAGGAATAGTCTGGACTGTCTGAGGGGAGGAAAGAGGAGCCAGCAAGCAACCTCGGGCCCACAGGCCAGAGGACCAGGGCCATGGACGTCCCCATCTGCACAGCTCAGCAAGGCAGATGCTTGGTACCACGCCCTCAAGGCTGTCCACTATCCTCTTGAACTAGAAACTTTTGGTTTCAGCCTCTGTATCATCTTCAACTCTTGATTTTCTTCTGTGCTCCACATTCAGTAATTTGTCCGTTCTTTTTTTTTTTTTTTTTAGATTTTATTTATTTATTAGTGAGAGAGAGAAACAGCATGAGAGGAGAGAGGGTCAGAGGGAGAAGCAGGCTCCCCACTGAGCCAGGAGCCCGATGTGGAACTTGATCCCAGGATTCCGGGATCATGACCTGAGCCAAAGGCAGTCGTTCAACCAGCTGAGCCACCCGGGCACCCAGTAACTTGTCCATTCTTAATCATTCTGTCTCCTATTCATTTCTTTTTATCTCTGCTATTCTTGTTCAGCCTCTTCCTTACCCTCCCACTAACTCTGTCTGCCTCCAGTCTTTTCTGTTCATCTTTTTATTCTCCTTTCATTTACCTTTCAAAAATACAGGTTAGTTTATACCATTCTGGTTCTTAATACTTTCAGTGATCTAATCCCAAACTATCTAATTGGTAGTATCCTTCTACAGTGCTATGCTTTAACACACTAGATCATATACTGCCCCCCAAAAATGCTTGTACTTTTATGCCTCTAGCCCTAGCTAATGACTTTTCACTTAGAATACCTTTTTGTACATTTTAAGCAAAATTGAGATATATAGAGTTTAACATTTTCCTTTTTTTTAAACTAGCTTTATAAACATTTTGTAATTAGCTTTGCTTGTCATCCTTTAATATCCTTTCCATGATGCCTTCCCAAATCTTTCTTTCCCAGTGCTTTTTCATCAATAATTATCCTTTCTTCTCTGTTCCTATAGCACATAACTTGACCTGTCTTTAGTACTTCTGTCTGCCTTATTTCATTTAGCTATTTGTGATTTATTTTCTCAATTCTGCACTTATTTTTACCATGTTTAAAGGTAGAAAATGTCTTAAAATTAAAGTGGAACAGCTTTGCTGTTTCTCCCTGAATGGCAGTTAGTAGATCAGTGTCATGTCTTAAAGCAAAGTGGCATCTTAGAATTAAGGAAATAATACATTACACCCTCTACTAGATGGTACAGGTTTTGAGTGTGGGGACCATTTTTTTTTTTTAAGCCCCTGGCTCTTTTTAGACTCTCTCAGTAGTAGAAAGGTAAGTACAAATTAGAAGCTTTTGAATTGAATGATCATGAAAATGCTAAAAATTAAGCTTGTGAACTACACCTAAAACAACAGAAGGCGAATATAAGAGGCTTAAATGCATACATTAGAAAATAAGTTTCTACTTAGGAACTATGAAAGGAAGAGAAAAAACCCAAAGAATTGTAGAAGGAAACCAAATAATAAAGATGGGAGCTGATGTGAATGAAATAGATGGCAAACATACAATAAAAAGAGTCAGATTATCCCAAAAGTTATTTTCTTTGAAAGACAATAAAATTGATAAGCCTCTGAGAGACTTATAAAAAAAGATTTAAAACAGGCATAAATAGCTAGTATCAGATAAATAATCATTGGAAGCTATTAGGAACAATCTCCTGTTAACAAATTGGAAAATGTAGACAAAATGGACAAATAACTACTGAAAAATGTAACCAGACGAGGATATATAGAAAATCTGAGTCCATTACTATTAAGGAAAACAGTTAAGTAATCAGAAATTTTCCCCCACAAAAACTTTAGGCCAACATAAAACTTCAGTGGTGAATACCAGGTATTTGAGGAGGAAATAATTTCAATTTTTTTTTTTTTAAAGATTTTATTTATTTGAGAGAGAGAGAATGAGAGATAGCACGAGAGGGAAGAGGGTCAGAGGGAGAAGCAGACTCCCTGCTGAGCAGGGAGCCCGATGTGGGACTCGATCCCGGGACTCCAGGATCATGACCTGAGCCGAAGGCAGTCGCTTAACCAACTGAGCCACCCAGGCGCCCAATAATTTCAATTTTTAAAATTCTAGAGAATAGAAAAGGACAGTGTACGTCCCAAGTCATTTTATGGGACTAGCAAAATCTAAATACTAAAACCTGTCACATTCAATGCAATCCCTGTCAAAATCCCACCAGCATTTTTCACAAAGCTAGAACAAACAATCCTAAAATTTGTATGGAACCACAAAAGACCCCAAATAGTCAATGCAATCTTGAAAAAGAAAAGCATAGGTGGAGGCATCACAGTTCTGGACCTCAAGCTATATTACAAAGTTATAGTCATCAAGGCAG